GATAGAGGAGCCCAGGTTGGAGCAGGTTTGCTGGCAGGACTTGTGACCCTAGGGGGGACCCAGGCGGGAGCAGGCTGCTCCTGAAGGATGGCATCCGTTGGGGTCAGAACCCACATTGGAGCAGTTTGTGGAGAACTGCAGCCCATGGGAATGACTCGCATTCACAGAGGGGTGTCTCCCATGGGAGGCACCCCATGCTGGAGCAGGGGAAGAGTGTGGGAAGTCCTCGCTCTGAGTGGCAGAGACAACAACCCCCATTCCCCGTTCCCCTGTGCTGCTCACGGCGGGGAGGGAAGGGGGTAGTGAATTTGAGCCTGCAAAGAAGGGAGAGGTTGGGGGAAAGGTGGTTTAAGATTTGGTTTTAGTTCTCTCTTTACTCTGATTTAATTGGTGCTAAATCAAATTATTTTTTCCCCAAGCCGAGTCTGTTTTGCCCATGATGATAATTGGTGAATGATCTCTCCCTGTCCTTATCTGAAGTCATGAAATCTTTCATCATATCTTCTCTCCTATGTCCAGGTGAAGAGGGGGAATGATAGAGTGGTTTTGGTGGGCACCTGGCCTCTAGCCAAAGTCAACCCACCACAGTCAGGTTTTGTTTTTTTGAAGTCCAGCACCTTCACTATTTTTTCCTGTGATCCTTCATTTGTCAGGAACAAGGATGTGTTGTATTCCCTTACTGAGAAGGTACAGCCTTTCTGCGTGGCCTGTATTTCAGGGACATTGAGGTATTCGATATAAAGAACTTCCTTTTTATATGATCCAGAGCAGATGTCTGTTGATGTGTATTTCTTCCCTAAGATGATTCTTCATCCCAGCTTTTGAGGACTTGCTCTTTTTCTTGATGTCTAGAGTCACAAGGGAAAATATCTGCTAGGGTATGTAGCCTCACCGATATATGCTCTTTGCTGGGCAAGAGATTATGTTCCAAACTGGCATTTGTATTTATATATACATCCATTAGTATTGCCTCATTTTGATCTGTTTTGCAGATTTTATAACTTTAAATGTGAATATCTTTATTGGGTTTGCTTACCTGAGTAACTCCCAAGCTAACAAGAGGAACCTGCTTGTTCGGTTGAAGTTTCGGATGTTTTTCCATAGCGGCTGCAGAACAAGGGTTTATAATTTAACAAGACCTAGAAGACAGTCCAGATTCTGCTTAGAGCTGAATGCACCCTGAAAAGTAGAACCCTGTTCTCCAAACTCTTTCATTCTACTAGTTTATGCTTTTCATCATCTTGGAGTGGTTTCTTATTATGATCTTAATTTCACTCTTTCAAGGCCTTTTTACAGCTCTTTTTGAACTCTTGACTCTGTTTATGTGCTGTCTTTATCTTAAGTTACATGTAAGAGGAAAGATGAAAGTTGTCAGTGCGTGTGGACTTTGTTTCCCTTATATTGGATATTGTTTTCTAAAAGGTCCTAAGAGCATACTTGTATTGCTCCCTAGTAATTGTTTTTACTTCCACCAGATTATTAGCCTTTCTACCTCTCTGCTTAAATCTCTGTGAATGTATTAATAATGTACTTATTCTAGATGTTCCCATAAATACTTTTTTCCTTGATTAAATAGTGTTCTACTGATCCAGAAACTATTTGTTCATTGCGGCAGTGGGTAGGAGGGACTTAAGTATCACTACATAAGTTTCAAAATCTTGTTTAATAATTGAATTCACACAAGAATTGTATGGCAGTTCAGACTAAAGGTCTGTGCAGTAGTATCCTGCCTCCAAAAGTGGCCAATTTCTAAATGCCTGACACAGAGCAAGTATGTAACGATGCTTCCCCAGAATATTTACTTGTTCTACAAGAGTTCGTGGTTTGCAGACTTTTCTGGGTTGAGGTGATGTCTTTAGATGTAGCCTATTTTGAATTGAAGGTTTATGGTGGTGTGTTGTTGTGTGTGGTTTTCTTTTTTTTAATTCCAGGTAGGGGCAAAAAATGTTTCTTCAAAAATATAGAAGTGCTCCATGGGTAGATCTTGTTTAACTGTATGGGGTTGATTTTTTTTAAGGTAACATTAAAATCAGCTGTGTAACTTCTTTCCCAAAGAAAAAGCCTTGTGTAGAAAAATGACCTGTGAAATGATGTTGAAACCTTGGTATTTTTTGACCTTTACCTTTTTAAACCATTCAAATTCTTGTATGATTAGATGCTGTCAAGGAGGTAATGAAGAAGCTGCTCCAAGCCTGGTTACAATTGACTGAAGGGGATGTTTTAGAATTACTTCATCGACTGGATGTCGAAAATTGTCCAGAAGTGGCCACCCCAGTGCTAAATACTATATTTTCATTGTCTCCACTTCAAGACTTTGTTCAGAACTGTAAAAACCTTGACAACAGGTATGCAGATCAGTTTTCATTTCAAAAGGTCATATGTTGTATAAGAAAATGAAATTAAAGGTGATATCTAAATGGGGAGCAGAGTAACTATTGCCTGTGATAAAAGGCTGATACTGTGACATAAGCCATGATGTCTCCTTGGTGGTTGTGTACTTCAGTGTTTTGGATATGTGTTTTTTTAAAAAAATTGTGTTCACCAACTGAAAATCATTGTGCCAGATAATGGAAACTGTCTTTTGATAACTTTGTTTCCTGAACACCCCACTCCCAGAACTTCAGAGGAGGCAGTAAATTAATCAACTAAACAAGCTTTCCTGTGAGTAACAACTTAGAATCTATTTCCTGTACTGTCTGTACGGCTTACAATAAAGGCAATGCTCTAGCTTACCCCCACAGCTCTGACTTCATGTCTCCTTTTAACCTGTGGTACTGAAAAGCTCCTTTCTTCTATTTCTCCTCCCTCTCAGTAATACTTTCTCACATGTTTTCTAGTCCTCTTTGGCTTCCCTATATCCTTTTTGCTGACCTAGAGGCAGCACAATTTGGGGCTGGTTCAGTTATCCATGAACTCTTTGGAGAATCAATCAGAATGGAATTATTTGGCTTAGTTTTCAGCCTTCTAGAGGTATTTTACTCATATTAACAGCTTGTATCTTGGAGGTGTCTTTTCCTATGTTTAATGCTTGGTAGAATTTGACCAATTGTGTTCCTGAGCTATGAAGAAGATTGTGTGATGAATATTAAGATCTGCAAAGCAAAGATGAAGGAGGAAAAAAACCCAATAAATATAGAAGTTGTAGGAAATTGCTAAGGGAGGCAAAAAGGCATGAGAAGAAACAGTTTGAGTAATTTGAGGCAACCAAAGTGGAGTATTATTAACAGTGGTAAGATTCTAATCTCAGATGATAAATTTAAATGACAAATTGTTACTGATGAAAAAGTGATAATAAAATCTTATTCTGTGTTTTGAGGGAAAATGTGTAAGTCGTCATATGAAGTGTCTTGCATTCTAGTAATAGCTTAAGACAAATGTTTTGAAATCAGTAGGTGCTACATGCATTGCACTCCAAAGCCGTAGATGTGGGCGTGTCTGGCTTTAAAAATTATCAACAATGGTGAAGTAACTTTTGCATATTTTCAGAAGCTGTAACAATACCTTAAAAGGTTCAAAGGAAAAATTTGTGTAGTTATGGATTTGTCCATCTGACTTGGATCCTGTACAAAACGGGGCGTCTGTTTTGAAAGACTGGGCTGAGATTTATTTTGTAAGAAGTAGACCGGTTGGACTAATGACATTTTGAGAAGTGAAATTATTCAGCTTGTAATGAGATTATTTGACTTACAGAAAATATTAGGCTTGTTCTCATATGATATGTCTGACTACAGCTTGAGTGATGCGGTATCAGTACTATAAATGCTTAAATTTTTCAAGTCTGTGATTTGTTAAATTTATTTTTAAATAAAGACTTGGCAAATTAATGGGAATCCATCAAATGATCAGTTTTCATCTACATGTTGCTGGGTTTCTTTTTCTTTTCATTTTGTGTGTGTGAGGGACCTAAAAGAAAACCAAAATTGTTATTGACAGTTTGCAAGTCAAATGGAATTCAAGCGAGTGAAAAGTACCACTGACAGTGATACTCGGTCTTTTCTGTTTTGAGGTAGAATTAATGCACAACTTGATGTTCTGCTTCTGAAACAAATATTACATGCCGTGCTTAGCATGGAAAATGCTATGATTGTAAAAAGAGTGGGGGTCCTAAGACTGGTAAATGGAAGATGAGGTTAGAGTGATGCTGAGAAGCAGAACCTTTCTGCAAACTGACACCAATAACCTTGACTTAAAATACTGAGGAGTGCGGTATAGTGAGAGGCTCAGGGAGCTCTGTCTCCTCATTTAAGCAAGAGTGAGTTGGTTTCGTCAGCCTTGTAAGTATTTCTGTGGGGAATACCTTTGACAGGATTTTAATTTTCATTTTAGGAAATAATCTATTTCTGTACACTTGTTGTCTTTGACCCTATTTTATTTATCTCTTTATTTTTGTTTAGAAAACTGATTCCACTCGAAGACTTAACAGCTGAGAATGTGTTATATTGGAGATGTCTCTGTGAATATCTAAAATCTAAAGGTGAAGAAGGTGAAGACTTACTAGAACAGATGTTGCCAGAACCAGCTATATATGCAGATTATTTGTCAAGGTACATGGCATTTACAAATAAATCTCTTGCCACTAAAACAGATTAGTCTGTTTTTAAAGTAGAGAATATTTCTTGTATTCAACTGTTCAGGTTTCCTCCAAAGTCAAAGTTGTGCTTGAACAGTGATTTCCACACCACCACCCCCCAAGTTTATTTTTTAGGATTTTTGCAAGGACTTACTGCTTTTAAACAAAAAATGTAAAAAGCAAATTTATAATTTGAAAAATAGTTTTGGAATGTCCTTTCTCATGAAGTATCAGAAGATGGACTGCTAGATCAATAGCATATAAGTCTTTGCCATTTAAGTTAATAGAATAATTGTTCTGTAATATGCAGCTATCCTTTGTCCATCTGTTGTTACGTAGGTTGCTGTGTGTTTGCAAAGAGCTCGCCGAAAGAGGTGTGCAGAGCTTGCAGACCGATGTTTTTTTCATTGCTGTAATTTGTGAAAATAAAGTAAAATTTGGCTGCTGTCCTCAAGAGAAGACTTTTTTGAAACTGAAAGTTCATTCTCTTTTCCCCCTGCTCAGATAGGCATGCTTCCAAAAACTTGTTTGAAGTTGGTGACAGAGCTGCTAAATGAGCCAATTAGAGATTATTTAATCATGGGAGGGGGAACGAATGTTTTGTTAAGTCAGTCTTTTTAACCCAGTGAAGAAAGGTGATTTTTTTTTTTTCAGTGGGATACTCTAGTCTTAACATAAAATTTGAATGGAATTTAAGTTTGTGAGAAGGGAGAATGCTGAGAAATCTTAACCGAGGTATTGTACTTGCAGAAATGTAGAGTGTGGCTTCTTGGAATGATTATAAATCAGATCTGCTGAAAAATTTAATATTTTGATAGGTTAAAAATACGCATATTGTTTTCTCACTTCAGTGGGTGTAGTATACTAGTAGTACTTAGAGAAATCATTGCTACTTTTCAATGTGTAATGTGCTAACAAGTTTCATAAGCATTTATTAAATGAAGTGTCTGCTATTTCTTAAGTTTGAAATGTGGATCCAGTCTGGTGGGTGTAAATTTATTCATAATTAATTGCAGAGTCCATCAGAAGACATTTTGTTCTCATAAAGTTTTTTTTCCCATCTGATCTTACTCAAAATGCCTTCAATTATCTTCCCTTTCAGGAAGAGGCTGAGTAAGATTAATTAGGTTTGCTAATACTTGTTTGTAGTATTAACTGTTAAACTACTAATTGGTGAGTTGTGCCACCAGTTGTTTCGGATAAGATTTGCAATTGTAAAGATTCAAGTCTTTATTTGCACTTTTGAGATTGTCAGTTTGAATGAGCAAGAAACTGCAAGTCATTGATACTTAGGAAAAAATGCAGGATTGCAAGCCTCATGCAGATAATTCATTATTATCTGGTGCAGGTAACATTATTGTTAAATGATCAGAAACAACTGCCTACACTGTTGTAATTTCAAATGTTCTTAAAAGTTATGACAAAAACCTTGCATGTAGCTACTAATAAAGAAGTTAGAGATTCGTTAAATTTAATGAGCTGTTGCTGAAAAGTATCTGCAAAGCTGTGGCAAAAATAAGCTTTTTTCTTTTTTCACAGCTCGTATCAGTATTTGAATTTTTTATATTATATTCAGTATTGAATTTTGAACGCTAGGTTTCACTCCAGATTTTCTGAACATGAATGATCTCATTGATGGATAAAACTTTGATAAACGAACAGTGACTCTAGAAAAAGAAATAAATGGAACAAACTGATTACGCTTCCCATGCGATGTGGCTGAGTGACTGACAACAGACTGTTGGTCTTCTGTGGTGGCATGCTTGATCAGATAAATTTAAACTTCACTGCACACTTCAGTGACTTTCTTATGTTGCCTACAAGACAAAAGGCAACGCTTCTGAACATGTAGACAAATACATAGTACCTAAATGTGCAGAAAAATGAGTTGTATATTTGAGAAATGGTACCTGCTGCCTTTATGCAGGGGTTCAGAACTGAAATCACATGTAGAAGCATAATGTATTGTCATTTTCTGTTTCTTAATTGTTTTGCGTTCTCAAACAAGGGACTTTTTTTTTGAAGTGCATTATTTTTAAACTGCACATTATTTGGTATAAATAACTTCTGGAAATATTAACATATGAGAAGGAGAATATAAACATTACTTTTCAAGGTTTGTAACTAAGGTAACCACTTGTTTATGCAGGGCAGGAAATTGATGAGGGTTTGGTTTTTTTGGGGGGGGTGGGGGGCATATATTTTTTTTTTCCCAACAGTGATTCTGAATGTAACTTTATCTGTTCTATTTGGATTCAGTTATCTTCAAAATATGCCAGTTCTTAGTGAAGAGCAAAAAGAAGACTTTGCCTGTTTTGAAAACATGATGACAAAAGAATTTATAGGCCAGCAACTGATTCTTATCATAGGCTGCATGGATACCATGGAAGAGGGAGGAAGGTAAACTTAAATATAAAAATCTGTGTTATTTAACACTGTGGCTTAAACTTAAAAGTTTACAGATGTTTTAGATGCCAAGCTGAATTGGACTGTGTGAACTGAGTCATTCCTAGAACTTGAACAGCCTTTTGATGTGAAGTAGTAAGAGTGAATAAATTTGGAAATTTATACCATCACAGACATTTTATGAAAACTTGCTGTTTTGATAGTGCAAACACTGCAATAATTTCCAGCTCTGGAATGCATTCTATATATGCCAGACTGGCAGGGTAGTTTAACTTGGAAAACTTTTTTTTTAGTTTCCAGCCAGGTAATTTCTAGGAAAGCATTCTACAGTATGGATATTCTTGACTGTTTTCTACTGGAATGACCTTTCATTGGACAGTAGTGACACCTAATTAAAACATGCAGCATTTTCTAATCAATGGAAGTCAGGTAAAATCAGGAGAAGACTAACATTGCTAAGTAAAGAAGATATGTTCAGCAGTTAATATAGCTAGGGTGAAGTTTCTCTTACAATGTATTATAAAGTTGTCTTCACACTAATTCAAAGTGGGTCAAATTTAGCTGTTAGTCTTCCATTTTCTTGAATAAGCAAACATTGGGTTTTTTTCCTCTTTAATGCAGAAAGCATCTGTTAGTTACTTTACAGAAGATTCTCGTTCTACCTGCAACTTCAACAGCCCTTGTATCACTGCTTGTGGAAAGATTGCTCAGTATGGTTAAGGATGATAATGGAAAGATTCAAATCGTAAGTATTTCTAGGCTCTGCCTTCCCTGTACATCAAACAGCCTTTACGAAGAATTGTACGAGAAATATCAGGAGTTAAAGTAATTTTAGTTTGGAAAAGCATTTATGTTCCTTCCCCCACCCTCTTATTTTTGTTTTTTTAGCATAGCTGCATTTTGTGGTTGCCTAAAGATCTTTATTTATCTTTAGAGATTTGGCTGGTTTACAGATGTTGGGAAAAGAATTACGTTTTGACAGCCTGTGTCAGAATCCTTTGTCATAATAGATTCAAACAGTTTCGACTAAAACTTTCGGAGTGAGAATAATTTACATTTCCAGGTTTCAAATTTCTCTTCCTTCCTTTTAGCTGAGATAGGTACTAAAAACCCTTATAAAAGAGGCATTTTGTACAGTAGAGTCTTTGTAGACCCCATAATTATTTAAACTTGAATCCTGAAAAAGAATCTTGGTTTTGCTGAAATATTTTAAATGAACCCTGGTCTTAAGGACAGAGACTGCTTTTGGAGAACCACAGGCAAGTTGGTAAGTCTAGGATATAGGTTTTTTACATGATTACAATGGAAGAACTATGGTAATCCTAGCAATATAGTGCACTAGTAATGGTAACTATATATTTCTATTTTTCTGGTGGAAAAACACTGATTCAGTATATTCTGTTGATTTGGTATAGTTCTATGTATATTTGTCTTGCAATTAAGCTACTTTTATAGCTTCTTATACCACATAAGGTACTGTATAGACCTTTAAATAATAGTGTCCTTAGTTGTATTTTGATTGAAGTAGTAATAGGTGAAAAACTTTGTTCTCGTTACCAGTAATTCTGTGAACTTTTGGTAAAGAAACTGCTTAATGTATTCATGGATAGTCTTCTGTTTTCTTGCCTACCCAGCTAAATGGTAGAAAACACTGGGCTTTCCTGGTTAGACTGTGTGTTGACAAACTGAGGATTTATCTGCAGTGAATTAGCTGTTAAGGGAAACTGCACAGATGTTCAGTACTTTTTCAGAAGGATCGTATTTTAAATTTGGGGAAGTTAAATGCCTGGAACCTGACACCTTAGCTGAAATGAATGGCACTAATACACTATTTGTAACAATAGGTTGCAGAAATTATATCAGAAGTTCGTGAGCCAATTGTTGCAGTTGAACAGCCTGTTGATGCCGCTGAAATAAGAAAGCGGGAGCTGAAGGTAAGCAGATTTTAATTAACAAGAAAAAAATTTTTTTAAGCATATCCATCTATTGAGTTATATATAACAGTGTGTTATTGGCTAGTGTCAGTAGCGTGGTGTTGGCTCATACCATGAAGGTTACGGTATGACATGAATTTTCTTTTTACTTTGTATTTCAGTTGGCTGAAATAAAAGTGAAACTTTTTGAAGCAAAAGCAGCTTTGGAAGAATGCATTACTCTGCAGGATTTTAATAAAGCCTCAGTATTAAAAGAGGAAATAATAGAGTTGGAACACAGAAAAAATGATCTGATAAAAGAAGCAGAGCAACCCGAAATTGAAGAAATGCGTGTGGAGAAGGTCTCTTCCCTTCCTGTATTCCCAAGTGCTGGTTATGTTTTGACATTTATTCACAGTTTTAAAATAAAGGGTAGTTTGGCCTTGTATCATCTAAATTTTTAAAATTGAAAATGACCATATATGGTATTAGTATTCTCCTCCTGTGTGTATGGAAGCTGATGGTATGCTGTAGTAAAAAACAAATTGCAGTTAAACTACTCTTTTGTCCTTGGGTAACTCAAGGATTCTAAAAGGATCTTGTTTTTACTGCTTTGACTCTTAACTAACTGAAGATAAGAACCTGAATCACTTTTCCTCATAGTTTATACACAGATTTTGGTTAATATTCTTACCCAACAAATGTGTAGTAGACAGGAAATGTTTAGTTGGGTAGGGAAAAATTACGATTAATGTCCTCATTTTCTTTATCACAGCCACTATTTGTATTAATGTTTTCTTTCTTTTCCCTGACCCACTTGAAGAGTGATCCTGAAACACTCTTGAAGTGTCTAATGATGTGCTACGAGCTTCTGAAGGTCATGTCCCTTTCTACAGGAATCAATCCAACCATTAAGGAAATCACTGAATCTCTGGTATGTGGGAATAAATACTGTTTACATTAGCAAGCTCAAGACAAATGAAATAAGTTGATTCTTCACATAATACATAATTTGTGGAATTTCTTGTCACAGGAAGTGTGCATGGTGAACACTTGCATAAATGTCAAAGAAGGCTAAGCAAGTTCAATAAAAATAAATATTATGTAATGATTAGGTAGATAGGAACAGCCTCCCAGCTCTGGTGTGTCTCAGCTGCAAATTGCTGAGACCTTGGCAAGACTTCTTGGGAGTATCTACTTAGTCTGTTCATGTAATACTTTATAGGAATTTGGTTTTGATCTTTTTTGATAACGAGACAGTGGGCTATGATCTGACTCACTACGGGCATTTGTAGAATTCAAACTGCAAGGAAAATTGTAACACCAATTCAGATTAGCTTAACTGTAGTGGAACCACACTTGATTCCTTTCACATGTATAGAAGTATTCTTAAAAACCCTAATTAGTGTTGATGTGCCCCCCTGAAACCTTTTCTTTTGCATTAGGACTTTCTTTAATTTTCACATTTGTTGTTTATTCCGCTTTTCTTTCTCCAAGATCCTGCTCTTGTATTGTCATTCTTTTTTTTTATTTTCATGTTACAGGATTTGGGATTTAGTATTTGTTGTTTAAACTTGAACTCTTCAGTAAATACAAACCCATAAAATGATGCTGTTGTAGCGTTCACCTTGTATTTAGTCTGGTGTTTCTTTTGAGTCTGTTCTTACTATTGTCTTCATAAAACTATTCCAAGTATATGCAAGAAGCATTTTTATTTTGCAACTTGGAACTGCGTACTGTTTCTCTGCAAGAATGCTCATGTCTTCATAGAAGTGTGTAGGATTATTATGTGGTGAGTTTTTTTTTATTTCACAGTGAGTGGTCAACTCAGTTCTGTTTGAAAACATATTTATTAACAACAAACCCAAAGCAAAACACTCAGGTGATTTTTTTTTTCCTATTACCTTATTGCTGATTTCAATCTGCTTTTGTATCTAGATAAACAGAGCACATAGTAGTTACCACTTTCCAATCCTGTTCAAAATGAGATTGGTACAGTGTAAGCATATTTTAGTCAGCTTTTTTTATTTTCAATTAATGTATTTGAACTGTAAAGTAATTATTGTTTCCAGATACTTCCTGGTGTAACAAATGTCCATCCAGCTGTGAGAAATATGGCAGTTATGTGTTTGGGTTGCTGTGCCCTTCAGAACAAAGAATTTGCCCGACAGCATCTTGCATTGCTGTTACAGGTAAAATTTTTGATCACAAAAGGAATGATGGTCTGTGTGACTTGGTAAATAAAATTGTATGTATAACAAGCTGTTCTACATAGTTATGTTATTAGGAAATCGGGAATCACTGGTTCTCAAAAGATCTGATCTGGAGAGTGTGGTTTTATGTAAATTGTTCCGATGTCTAATCCTGCTCAAGCTTGTGTTGTATCTTGGCGGTAGCATGCCTTTCCTTTGTAAGGTCACCCGTTGTCTTGAAAGTTTGTAGAGAAAAAGGTCTCACTTTCTCTTCCGAATCTGGGTGAAATCAGTCATGTATTTATGTCAATACAACCTAGAAAAGCTGTAAGCCTGCCTTCCTTGGGAAACCAAACTAAAACTATGACTGTGATTGTTTTTACATTTGTAACATACTTACATGTGATCTGGGGTGTCTGATTCAATTTCTGAATTACTGATTTTGTATGAATTAAGCAAGAGCTGTTAATTAAAGGATAAACCAATATTCAAACCAACAAATGATAGCATGACTGTCATAGCATGACATGGGTATGGAACATGTTGGATGCCATAATACCCACATCTCCCACCTTTACGGTAAATGTTCTGATGTGAGCTAATTATATAAAAGATGACACTCTTGCAACTTTTCAGACTCTGACTTTGAGAGAAGTGTTGGTGGCCTTCGTGCCGTATGAAGAGTGTGTTCGTGTACACACCCAAGAACTGAGAGCAGGCGTGATGATCTGCTCAGCTCAGATAAAATTATAGAGCTGCCAGTCACCATAGCAGGAGAACTTCGAGTACCTAACACGTTAGCATATACTATTGTTTTGAATTTGCCTTGGAATATGTTTCACTAAAAATCAGTGTTTGTTTAGGGAGGATTTCAGTAGTTTTAGTAATTTAGACTTAATTAGTTAGCATCTGTAGGAGCTAAACCCCATATTCATTGTGCAGGGGGGTGGGTTTTAAACAGATCTAGGACCTCCAATCTAACCTGCCAAGTATGGTTTTATTTGAATGTTAATTTGAACCGTAATACATATGGTAACCTATGCAACTTTGTCTTTTATTATGATGTTACTCTCTGCTGTCATCTTACATACATACTGTTTATTTTAATGAAGCTATATGCAGTTCAGAGTGGGGATTGTCTTACATATTTTTTCTGTAGCACATAATGCTATGGACCTACTATGTGGACAAACAGAAAATCTGTTTCCCATGTCTTTGGAAGTTGAACAATAAAACTACATCTCACGCACGCTCGCTCTCTGAGGGAAATGCAATTGATTTTATGTAATGGAGATTGCATAGATGACTTCATAAATTATTTCCCAAACTGTATTTTAAATTCAAGTTTAAACTTGTATCACACTTTGCTAAGCTCTGAAATTTGTCCCAAGTCTTATAACAAGTTTTTCAAATTAAACAATCCTATTAAAGCAAATAAATCTTATTATTAATATTAGCACTGGTGGTCTACTGTATGATGATGTATGTGTTTTCCTTATTAAACCTAGGTTTTACAAATAGATAATTTAAAGGTAAAGATCAGTGCTTTAAGGGCAATCTTTGATCAGCTAATGCTCTTTGGGATTGAGCCATTTAAAGCCAGAAGAGACAATGACTCTCAAAGTGAGGATGCACTCTCAACAGAGAATTGTGAGGAAGAAAGTGAAGCAATAGAGGAGGAAGACTCTGCTACAGTTCACAGTCTCCTGCAGCTTCTTTCTGGTTTCTTAGACAGCGAGGTAAGAAATACTATAAGATTTGCCTTAGTTTTGTTTTAAAATGACTTATGCAGGTTTACTGTCCCCTTTAGGTTGCACGTCAATATTGCATGGTTTGTAACTGAAATTAATGGTCCAATGTTAAAATAGTTATCCTAGAAAATGACTACAGCTTTGTCACTGATAGGGAGTAACATTACTCTTGAGCCAGTTTTGGATCCTGTGCAAGTGCAAATCTGTGAATGTAGAGAACTGATTGGCAAAATACAACGTAGACTGTTATTTTAAAGCGTTAGTGAAGAACGCAGGGGTTAGTGTCGTGTATGTGATCGGTTCTTTCTTCAGTTTTCAGAACTTAGGACAGAAGCTGCAGAAGGCATGGCCAAACTGATGTTCTCTGGGAGGCTGATCAGTGCCAAGCTTCTTTCTCGCCTTATTTTGTTGTGGTATAATCCTGTGACTGAAGAAGAGACACGGCTTAGACACTGTCTAGGAGTTTTCTTCCCTTTGTTTGCTTATGCAAATAGGTATGGCCTTTGTAAATTAACATGTGAAAATATATGTTGGTCCAGCAGCTTTAGAACCTTTTCTGATCTTGCACAAGTAGAAATTGCACAAATGCAAATTAGACCTAAAGGTCTCAGCCTCCTATGCATTTCCTAAGCCCATAATTGAAACTGTTCCTCAAGACACTGGGTAAAATACTGATTTAAAAAGATGTGCTGTACTTATTTATGCTGTTGAACACTACAGGTAGACTTTGAAGTGTCTGTAAAAAAGTAGCTAGCAGAAATTCTTCAAAAGAAAATAATCAGTGCCCAGCAGATATCAAAGCAAGAGGCTGGTTGGTTGTGGTTTGGGTTTTGGTTTTGTTTTGGCTTTTCACCAAAGAATATTACAATCTAAATTTGCAGCAAATTCAAAATCTCCTGTTTATTTTAGTGGTGGACAAAGCAGATCTTATGTAAGGGGATAGGAGCTTAAACAGTAGTTCTCATCTCCTTTCACTTGCTCAAACTAAAAAATGTTCAATTTCTCAGTTGCTGCTGGTGGTTTTAGCCAGTCTGAACTGGCTGAGTTTTTATCTGCTCTTTTTATGGTTAAGGTTTAATTTAGGATATGTATATAGTGTGTCTATTTTTCCAAACCAAATTGGATTACATTTTTTTAGGCCTATAAATGGCCACATTAAGAGGAGTAGTTCAAAGCTGAGTTGGTTTGGAGAGGAAAAACGTCCAAACAAATGTATTTTTGCTGTTTTCAGGAAAAATACAGGGAAAAATAGCCAGTATCCTAGAGAATGGTGTTTTCCTTACTTAAGTTATTTTGAAAATAAGTAACAGAATAACTGATTTCATAAGCTTCCAGGCTGTTTGATGCTGAGTAACAAATGTAAGCTTTTTAATATGGATAAGCCTTTACCTCTGAATGTCATCTTCTGAAGCTTTTGGGGTTTTTTTTGAGTCCTAATGATTGCCCACCTGAGTAACTCTGAGTATTTCAAACTCGTTTGCAAATGAGGCAGTTCCTTCTGCCACCCTATAGATGATCTTTTTCTTGAAAGGAAAAACATGGTGTATGCTTTAGGCAAAAATTGGAAATATAAGTAGAGAGAAAAATCCTAAATCCTGGTCTGTCTCATTGATTCGGAATCTGTGTTTAGTCAGGAAACCTCATTAATTTTCTGTCTGCATTCTGGATCACACGCAGTTCATTTTAAGATGATCATAGAGTGTCCTCAGTGACCAATACGGTATTTTTCAGGAGAGAATTATTAATGACCATTTGTAATTCAGAACTGTTGGCAGAGTTGCCATTCAAAAAAGGGAAAGTCGGTAACGAATGCGATTTGGCTGAGGCTCATCCCTAATTTTGATACTGATTTCTCACTGAATTTTAAAATTCCATTCGTTCTCTATTACTGCTATTATTTCTATTGTTGCTGTCCTATTAACCTCTCCATCTGGTCACAGATATAACTGAGTATGTAAAATGTGTGTGAGGAAAGCACTTGATGCTGACTTCTCTAAGTATTCTGTCATGTCAGTAGAGTGACATGGCACACTTATAACAGGGACAGGATCCTGTAGCCAGTGAAAAACTCTTATTCACAGAATGTTTTCTAAACAGTAATAAACTCTCTGGCAGCTGAAGAGGAGAAAGTTCTGCCTTGTGCCTATATACTACTAGATTTTTTTTTTTAATATTTTTTTACAGGGAGTAATCTGAATGATACTTCAGTTGTGCTTGAGCAGCCTTAAAGCTGCTGAAAGGGAGAGCTCTTGCTTCCATTCTTTCTTGCCCCAGTTTTTGTGATCAAAAGGTCTTGTGGTCAGCTGATTTAGCTCAATAATTCAGCAGCAAACAATCTGCTTTTTTTGAGATTATTTACTTTCTTCTTTTTCTCCTGTAGTTATTAGGGTTCCAATAGGTAGTTTAACAAATATCAGAAACAAAAAAGGCTTCATGTCACCAACTAGTGACCTTGTACTTTCTGACACCTTTCAAATTGTTTTGACCTGTCGTGTGGAGCTATACTCCTAGACATCTTGCTGCAGAACCAAGGGCAACGTGATTTTTAGACTTGCTTGGCAGGGATTATTAACTCTTATGAGAAAAGAAAGCACGAGTATTTTTTCTAAAAACCTTGTTAACCACTGCATTTTTTTTGTCTGGCTTCCTTGCTTTCTTACACACTGAGGAGTATCTCCAAAGAAATATGTGAGCAGGAAGGAGGAATGAGTGGAAGACAGATTAATCTAAATAAAAATTCTAGAGAAATATATTTCTGTCCCTTACAAAAGAATATGCCTGCATTTGTCAGTTAGGTTTTCAGTAGTAAGGATGATTTTTCAGGATTTGTTACTTAAAACTTGGTTGAAATACTGTGTGCTTAAACTGAGAAGTTCTATGAAGCAGTTTTGATTTCTTGATCCTGCTGGCTGCTCTACCAAGGCTTTGCTTTGATTGATATATTGTGGTGGGTCTGTGAACTTTCATCATAGAAGAGAAAATTTAGGGGTGAATTAAGGTTTAATTGTGTCTTGTTATTCTACTAATGTTTGACTTGATTGAAACAGGTCTAACCAGGAATGCTTGGAAGAAGCTTATCTTCCAACTCTGCGAACACTGTTAAATGCTCCTGCAACTTCACCTTTGGCTGAAATTGATATCAGTAATGTTTCTGAACTGTTAGTGGACTTGACCAGACCAAGTGGCCTGAAACCTCAGTCTAAAAAGTCTCAGGACTATCAGGTACTGTGTGTTAAACTGGAGGACAAGTATTTGTGCCTTGAGATTAAGAACTGACCCCCTTCGCTTGCTGCTAGCTGTCTGGGCCTCTCTGAGATTCCTAGTATCAGAAGCTGGAATAAATGAGTGACTGTTCAGGTAATTAAATCATTTAGCTTGACCTCCCTTTTCACAGCCACCCCTGCCCTCCTCCCCCCATTTTCCCCTCCCTCTTAGAATTAAAAACTGCTAGTAGGAACCTGCACCATGGCTAACTGTATCTATTGGAAAAAGTATTTATAAGCACTAGTTGGTGTATGTACTCAAAATACTGCATTTTAGCAAAATGTTTACTCTTTTAAATTAGTCATTAGGTATTTAAATCAGAATGACCTCACTGCTGTCCTTTCTAAACGGTTCCCAATGAAATTTCTGATATGTAATTCCTTCTCTTTACAGGACTTAACAGTGCATGATAGCTTAGCAATGAAAATTTGCAATGAAATCTTGACGGACCCCACTGCACCAGACGTTCGTATTTATGCAAAAGCTTTGAATATGCTAGAACTCAGTAGTTCTTCCACAGAGAATCTTCTGATTCTGCTCAATGACATTCTAGAGGTAATACATAAATAACATGGTTCTTAAAGTTGTTATCATTAGTAATGTAAAATTATGATATGCTTAAAAATGAAGTCTTTTGTTTACTAAGACAATGTGACTGGAAATGCTCTTTTAACCAGTCTTTGAAAATCAGTTTGAGTCATTTACAAAAGTCTGAGCTGATATCACAGTATAATTTACATATTTCCTTTATCTAAAAAAAAAAAAAGTATTTTGGGGTGTCAGTGCCTGGTGTTGATGAAGGAAGTGTTTTTCCTCTCAACTTGACTGATCGTCACGTTTGTTTTTCCTCTCAACTTGACTGATCATCGTCACGTCACACATTGTATCCTCTGTACAGTAAATTTCTCATTAATATGTAAATTTAGTGGATAAAACTAGTTGTAAAATTAAGCAGTGTTTAACATTAAACGCCTCTTCTCCAGAAAGTGGAAGATAAATTGTGTCAAAGAGCTATTGAGAAGATCAAGATGAACTTGACCAAAGATTCTAATGTGGGCAAAGACCACTCTGAAAGGACTGAGGAAACGGGCCTCTCTGAAAGGATACAGGACACTGACACTGCGCTCTCTGAAAGTACTGCTCAAAATGAAGAAGGTAATTCAGGAGAGGGGTAGTTTAGGAGAAGGCATACAACTGACTGACTTACTGTCATACATGTCTAAACAAGTTTTAGCTTTTCCTCCATTCAATTAATCTACTTTTGAAAAAAAACCAAAACCAACATAAAAAGGTAACATCTGACAAATAAGCATACAGTTTAAAATATTCATACTGAAGTGTTTTCCATGTTGTATTGCTTTTTGATCAGATTCTGTGTTTTCTTATTATCCATGTTACTCTATGACCAGTGCTGTATTTTAAGTCTCTGCCTGCAGCTCTTTCTTTTTAACAAAGACTTATTAGAATGGGCTTTCTCTTTTTTAGCTGTCTGGCGCACTTGTCTGCCTGCTAAATACCAGTGCTGACTAACTCACCTTTGGAATGTGACTCGCAAACTTGGGGAAGAAACAAGCACTTTGTGGTGTTTTTACACTTTGGAGTTACTGTGCCTGTGCTTCCTGCAGACTGCATTACAGCAGTGTGGAGCTGGTATCTTTAGTGTTGGCATCAGTCTGTCCTTGTTACGAGCTCATCTGCTGGAGCCACGTTGGGACTTATTGCTATTTAAGAGCTTGAAGTGGAAGTAGCTGGAAGATTTTCCACTGCCTGTGTAGCTTATGCAGCTTCAGGTTCTTTAGCAGTGTATGCGGTGCTGGTGGCACAGAAAGCCTTAAGAAGCAGAAAAGCAGTTGGATGAAACTTCTTGAGGTTTGCTTGCGGCAGTAGGGCAAAGATGTTGGCATGCAACTGTTCTAAGCAGATCATGTTTTCCTTTAGCATTTCTTTTAATGATTTGTTTGTGTTTTCTAGTGGATTGTTTCCGGGCTTTAATCTGTTTCTGGAAGTGTCACGTACTTTAATTTCTTAGAACTATGTTTATGTCTCCAAATATTTATTGGATGGGAAGTTGGAAGTGTCCCTTTGAGAAAATAGTTGTACTGTTTTCTGCTAGTATCTGATAGTACTTTTTGGTACGCATTTCTCACAAAAGAGGGTTTTTGAGCACTCTTTAAAAGTAGACTGTAGGAGAAGAGCATTATTCCCTTTACCTGGCCCACCCTTCCCCCAATACATTTATCATCATTGAGAATAAAGCAGCATTTACTGCTTGAGATTTGTAAATCACAGCTGTGAGCAGAACAGGCAACAGATGCTATCTTTGACCTTCAGTTGCTGCAAAGGAGATCTAGATAAGATACTGGGGGAAAAAGCTTCCTAGTATAACAGAGGTTGCTGAAGAAAGATTTCCTGAAATTGTTAGAAATTTTAAGACTAGAATATTTCAGTTGGAAAGGATCTACAATGATCATCTAGTCCAACTGCCCGACCACTTCAAAAGTTAAAACACATTATTAAGGACATTGTCCAAATGCTTTGTAAACACTGACAGGCTTGGGGCATGAACCACCGCTCTAGGAAACCTGTTCCAGTGTTTGACCACCCTCTTGGTTAAGGAAATGCTTCCTAATACCTAGTCTGAGCCTCCACTGGCACAGCTTTGGACCATTCCCAGGCATCCTGTCACTGGATACCAGGGAGAAGAGCTCAGCACCTCCCTCTCCACCTCCTCAGGTAGCTGTGGAGAACAATGAGGTCACCCCTCAGCCTCCTTTTCTTCAAACCAGATAAGCCCAGAGTCCTCAGCTTCTCCCCACAGGACACTCCTTCCAGCCCTTTCACCAGCATTGTTGCCCTTCTCTGGACACATTCCATACTGTAATATCCCCTTAAATTCTGGGATCCAGAACTGCACACAGCACTCGAGACAAGGCCACACCAATGCTAAACACAGCGGGACAATCACCTCTTTTGACCGGCTGGTCATGCTGTGTTTGCACCCCAGGATTTGACCTCCTGGCTGCCAGGAGCACCCCCAGATCCTTTTCTGCAGGGCTGCTCTCCAGCCACTCCTCCCTCTCCCCATTCATACTTGCACCTGACTGTGCTGGTTTTAGTCAGGACAGAGCTAATTTTCTTCACAGTAGCTGGTATGAGGCTGTTGTGGGTTTGCCTGGAGTACTGACAACACTGGTGGCTTTAGCTGGTGCTAAGGGGGATTTGTACCAATGCAAGGACATTGTCAGTGTCTGATACTGCAGCTGTGCTCCCAACTTTCTTACTACAAGCAGCAGTGGGTGTAAGACACGGTTCAGACAGCTGACCCAAACTGACCGAAGGAGTATTTCATTGCACAGCACATCATGTTCAGTATAGAAGCCTGGGGTGGGCTGGGGCCCCACAGCTTGTTTGCCATCGGTATTGTCAAAGACTGTGGCAAAAAAAGCACTGAATGCCTCCACTTCTTTTTCATGCCTGTTAGTCATGTGACCATCTTCAACAAGTGTTTGCCCATTGTTTTTGTTAGGCCTCCTCTTGCTGTTAACATACTTAAAAAAGCCCTTCTTGGTACGTGGCACAACACTGGCCAGTTTCAGCTCTAGCTGAGCTTTGGCTTTTTGTGTCTTCTCTCTGCATATATGAACCACAGCTCTGTAATCTTCCTGCAAAGCTTAACCTTGCTTCCAGAGATCGTACAACTTCCTTTTCCTTTTGAGCTCCATGAGGAGTTCCCTACTCAGCCAAGCTGGTCTTCTGCCCCCCTTGCTTGAATTCCGACGCGATGGAATGGGCTAAACAATCTCAGGAATAGTTTACATGTGATTGACTTATGCTGGAGCAGGGTTTTAGCTGGGTGATGTTTTAAGCTTTGTTCTTGCCTTATCATTCCATTTTGGGTGTAAGGAAAAAGTAGGGTTAAAACTGTGTGGCTTGTTCATGTAACAACCAAAATTTAACATACCAGTGCTTAAAGATGAATTTAAGTCGATTTTCTCTGACTTGTCCATGTGCTTTTCTATTTAACAGAAAATGAAGATGCTTCTCAAATGCCATTTAATGAAGGTAAAAGTAAAGAGAGTGCAAAATTGAAATCCACGAGAAACAGAGCTGGCAAAGGTATGCACTAGCTTTTCCTGGCTACAATACTAGTTGTTTATAATAAGGTACTTACATGCTAACTTTTTGTGAGCATAAAGCTATAAAAACCATTCAGGCTTCACACTCTGTAAAAATTCTACTTGTTAAAGAGGCTACGGTAGTCTGTTTTGTGGGAACTTAAGTGCTGTTAGCCTCTCCCAACAACACAGGCTTAAAAAAAGTCCAACAACAGGATTTCAAGATAATTTGGTTCCAGGCCTTTACAGTAACGTAGGGGTGGTTATGGGAGCAGTGGTACAGCGCAGGCTTTCTGCTGTTGCTTTTGGTTTGTCACCACGTTCCATCTGTGGTGACGGTGCATTTATATGCTGCAATGCAGTATCAAACACTGAAGACAGAGTGAGTTTAAGAAAAGAAACGGTATGGTGATATGAAAGGAGACTTTTGCTTCTCTGTAGGACGACAGAGTGCGGCAGCAGCAGTGAGGTCTGTGAGCACAAGAAGAACTGGCACAGCTGCCAAATGCGGTTTTGAAAGGTAAATCCTTTTCTCTCCGCTATCAAAACCGTGACGCCTGTTTGAGCAAGGAAACTTAATTCAAATGTTTTTCTTGCCCTAAATCTACATCTTTAATATATCACCTGTTACTAATATGCAGATAAACATTTAAGCAAAATTTCTTTGAACTGGTACTGTAGAAACAATAGCAGCTTGGACAGCTTCACGTTTTATTATCATTGCTGAAGAGCCCGTAAATTTTTTTTAACTCTACACACAGAAGGTATGTTTCACATACCTAACTTTAGGCAGCAGGATTGTACTTGGTTTACATTATTACTCTTCCAATCACTTTTTCTGCTTTTTCAATAACTGTTCTGTGGTGGAATCAGATTTTTTACTTAAATTAGTTTTCCCCTCCACATTTTTGTTGAAAAACAAGCAACCAAAAGTTGATAAGCTGCTAGAAATGACTGGTAAGTGAATACACACAACACATTCCTTCCCTGATGACTTTATCTTGGTAACTTTCAGCCGAGCTCAGTCTTTCTCAAGCAAGTCATCCACGGACCTTAGGGTGACCTGGGTCAGTCATTCCCGTTTGCCCATTCACTGTGTTTGCTGTGACACCACCTCATCCTTTGGGGGTTTTGCTGATTCGGCAACTGCTAACACATGGTTACCTTTACTGACACTGCTGTGTCACCTGGAAAACATTCATATGGTTTTCTCAAGAAATAAAAAGTTTCTACTTAGTAAGAAGTGATTTTGCTCTTTAAGACCATGTTTCAAGTTTGTTAATATAAAACTCTTCAGTTTGCTTAATCTTTTTGGCCTTACTTTAAAATATTTTACATTTCAGTGGTGATGAAGTTCCAGAATCGGTCCCAGTGTCAAGTTCAAGGCCTTCAAGGCGAGCAAAAGAAGTAGCACTTGAAAAAACAAGAATGAATCTTTCAAGACTTTTGAGTAGGGAAGCAGACCAATGAAGACAAAAGGAGAGAAAGCGTCCTTTGCTAAGGCTGGCAGTTAACATCAGACTTGAAAAATAAGGTTTATGTTGTTGTTAGTCATATTTAACTCTTTATATTATAATCACTTACAATCCTAGATTTTTCTAGGAACTCTTACTGATGCTTCTGATGTTTTTATTACATGAAATACCAGGAAAAATAAAATTATTACCTGAACTTTGCAGAGAAGAATGCTTTTTATCTGCAAATAAAAATTGCTGTTTGTGGTAAGTACTTTATAGTTAACGCTGTTTTGATATTTAATATTATTTGGAGAGAGTTTTGACCTGGAGTTGTTTGCTTGTGATTGCAGCAATTTTGACTGTACCTAATTTTTTAATGCAGCTACTTTCTGCATTTATGAGCCTGTGCATCTGCTGACCAGGCTTTATTGTTCATCTTAACACAGAAATGATCTTTAAATGTGAATTCTGCTTCCTGCAGCTATGTGTCTGCTTTATTTTAAATAATGGTGAAATCATAGAATCATGGAATGGTTTGGCTCGGAAGATACCTTAAAGACCATCTAGTTCCAACTCTCCTGCCATGGGCAGGGACACCTTCCCCTAGGCCAGGTTGCTCCAAGCCTCATCCAGCCTGGCCTTGAACACTTCCAGGGATGGGGCATCCACAGCTTCTCTGGGCAACCTGTCCCAGTGCTTCACCACCCTCTCTGTGAAGAATTTCTTCCTGATATCTAATCTAAACCTCCCCACTTTCAATTTAAACCCATTACCCCTTGTCCTGTCACTACAGGCCCTTGTAAAAAGTCCCTTCCCAGCTTCCTTGATGTCAAAACTGAGCTACTGATTTTATCGAACCTGTACTGGTTTTAGTTGGGCCAGAGTTGTTTTTCTTCGCAGTATGAGGCTGTGTTTTGGATTTGCATTGAAGAGTATTGGTAACACTGGTGTGTTTAGCTGTTGCTGAGGAGGGTTTATACCAAGTCCAGGACTTTTGGTTTCTGGTGCTGTACCTGTGTTCCCACCTTTTTCTCCACAAGAAGCTGAGGGGACACAGCCTCAACAGCTGACCTGACCTGGCCAAGGGGGTATTTCACGCCATAAAATGTCATGCTCAGTGTATAAGCTGGGGGTTGGGCCAGGGGAGAGGCGCTCTCCAGCTCTGGCTCTGCTCGGGACCGGCTGGATGTCAGTTGGCAGGTGGTGAGTGATGGTATCATTTGATTTTTTAACGTTATTTTCATTGCATAGTATTAGTAGTAATATTAGTGTTGTTAGTACTATTGGTACAATTATTTAATTTATTTTCAATTATTAAATTGTTTTTATCTCAACCCATGAGTCTTCTCCTCTTTTCCTCTGATTCTCCCCTCTGCTGGAGGGGGGAGGTGAGCGAGCGGCTGTGTGGTGCTGAGCTGCTGGCTGGGGTTAAACCACAACAGTCCTGTTTGGCACCCAGTGTGGGGCCAGCACGAAACCTAAGCCTTGAGGTCTGCTACTGATCTTGGCCTGGTCACATGAGATCAGTAATGTGCTTTTAGAAAAGCATAAAAATACTTGTGGTTCAAAGTAAGATCCAGTAAGGAAAGGAACACTGAAGTACAGAAAAGGTGAAAAATGAAATGCTGTAAAGCCTGTGTACTGTCTTTTTAAAGTGGTGTGCAACTGTGATTTCTTTGTAGCTTGGAAGTTCGCAAACCTTTTCCTAATGACATCTAGGAATAGTCAGGAGTTTCACAGAGACTACGGCAGATTAAACTGCATGTAGCAGAGGCACTATGGAGATGCCAGATTTTTGGTTTGGAAACGCTGTCAGTCCTGTCTGTCCTGGTTACAACGTGGGTCGTTGCCAAGGCGCATCTCGGCTACTGACGGCGCATTCTGAGGAACTGGCATTTAAAACAGAAAAATGTAAGGTAATTCTTGGTGATTCTCAGAAATGGCTTAGGGACACCAGTGAAAAGCAGTTGCCGAAGTGTAATGCTCAAACTATTATGCTATTTTCAAGCTTGCATATAGAAAACAGACAGGATTTTGTTGCTTTTCCTCCCTTTTGGTTTTTGTTGGAAACTTGTCACAAAATGCCA